TGCGGGGACTCAACTCGCGGTTCTTCAAACCAATGCTGAGTACAAAAATCGATTTAATCTATTTAGGATCCATTTCATATGAATTTTTAAAAATTGATTCATTACACCTAGAATCGATGTTTTGTCTTAGGGCAGTTCTTTTCGTGCCAAATGTGCCAGAAGGTTGACCAATCAAATGGCCGTATTTGTTCCAATTGTGAGATTGAAGTTTTTGCCGTCAAATCAGAGAGCTGGATTGTCACAGCCTCTCTGAGCAATCTGCCATTGCTCCACTCCGAGAGCTGACACATTAAGTATCTTTTATAGTTTTTTATTTTTAATGGAAATGATTAAAAACAGCATTGCAGCTCGTTTAGGGTAATTTAGATGGGACTATGAATGAATGAAGTTCAGCAGTAGCACTTGTTTCGTGGTGTCAGTACACTTTAAAACATAATTTTAATATAAGGAAAAGAATGACACCGTAAGTCAGGGCAGTGCAGTCGTATGGCTCTAAATGCTGTTCCAGATTTTTTGAAATGTCGTGTTAGCTCGCTAACACACACACTAAAATTGGAATGATACAGAGAAGGTTATCATGGCCCTTGCCACATCGCAGTGTGCACCAGTTAAACTGAGGTCGGGTGTAGGAGACAGTGTTGGAGGCTTGAAACAGCTCGAGGCTTAGCCTCATTAAGCCCTCTCGGGTGTGCTGTGTCCAGCTTCACCATCCAGAGTTTCTCTGCCCACTTCGGCTGCTGGGCAGTCCAGTCTGGGTTCGGCTCAAGTACTGTGGCTGTAACAGATTTCCACCCATGTATAAGAAAGTGTTGGACTAAATGGGTGTTTGTCTCCTTTCTCCTCAGGATGTTGTGTGAATGTGACCAGGAGTGTATTTTTGGTCTCTCCCACATACATTTTTTGACACGTTGCATGTTCTGAGATACACACAGTTAGAGGTGCGGGCGGTGCCTTTAATCCGGGTTAAGTAAACTGTGTCTGAGAACACGTTGTAGATCCACTGTTTGTGCTTAAAAAATTCCCCCAAATCATTAGATTTGGTTCTGATTGTAGGTCTCTATTTAGCTTTAACTAGATAGTCTTTTAGATTTTTTTTCCTCCTGTAGGCAGCCAGCACCTCATGGTCTGTAAGCATCTTAGTTGTTTGGACAAGAGTCTGAAAATTCTTTTTGACCCCTCTGATGTAGCCCAACATATGTGGTGAATATGGCATAACAAGGGGTAATAGTGATGTAACCTTGATTGGTTTATCTTCCAAAAAGGTTCTGTGCACCTTTCTTAAAAAGGTGCGACAGTGCCCTCTAGTGGATAAAGTGGAAAATAGGATTTTCTTTGCCTCCTGGAAATCACTCTGTTGTGTGCAGATTCTGTGAAACCTCAGCAATTGTGACTTAAATATCCCAGCAAATGTGTGCTTCGGATGGAAGCTCGTTTTGTGGAGCAAAGCATGAGTATCAGTGGGTTTAAAGAAGACTTTAACGTCCAGTGTGTGGGAGGAGCTGAAATCCTTCCCTTTAAATGTGGTTGTGTCTAAGAAATCCACTGACTCAGAGCTTGTTGTGGCCTCTAAGGAGGAGGATGGCGCTTGTTCTTAAGGTTTCTCGTACTTTTTTCTTCTTTTTTAAAAAAAAATGTTTATTTCGGGAGTCCCAAGTGCGTAGGTTCGACTCCCGCTCGGTGCGAATACAAAAGTGGAAACAAAGAAAGCGATAATATGCATAATAATACTTATTCATATATACTACAAACTATTAAGACTAATTATGTAAATCTTTTTAAATAATTACCAATTTAAATGTAGTTAAAATTGTGATGAAGAACCACTGAGCTGTGAAATATATTTGTGATAATACACACGTAAAATTATAGAACATATATGAAAAAAATCTGTGTTGAAATATATTCATGTTATAAAAAACGTAATACATGTATCTGTGTCCAAGGTCGTAAAAATAGTCTAACATTTAAAGTGTTTATCATTTTAATATTGAAAATCACAATAAAAAATAGAAAATCTAAAGATTATTTACATGTTCAGCCAAATTTTTTTTTTACTTATATATTTATAAAAGTAAAAGTCCCAAAATTAAAAAATGAGGTATTGTCCCAAAAAAGTCAGTGTTTTTCTGGCCCTCCTCCAGTCTTGCTCGTCATCTCCTTCTTCCACTCCTCTACAGACTTTCTGCCAACAGATGAACAGTAGGACACACCTGCAATGCAGGTGTGGCTAGTGTCCAGCCGCTTGGGCTGACCGCATTTGCTGCAGGTGAACTGCTGGCGGGCTGTCTTCGATGGTGGAGCCTGCACGCCAGCAGCAGCAGCTGCCTCCGCTGCCTTCCTCCTCCTAAATGCTGTTGTCCTTGGTACAGTCAGAACAGGAGGAGTCAGCGGAGTGGATCCCAGGAATAGATGAATGACGTGCAGGCTCTGAGCAGAAGGAGGAGGGAGGTTGCAGCTGGTGGAGGTAATGGTGGCGGCGGCAGTCCCCTGGAGGAAGGACCTGGCTGTTGCTCCTCAGGGAGGTTGTATTTAATGGGCTGTCCTCTTCCCACCTGTTCGGAGGACAGCCCTTTCGCAGAAGGGATGGGCCGGTGGGAGAAAGTTGGAGCAGAAACAGAACCAGTTCCCTGCTCCAGCACACCTTTCTCCCACCCTTTCTGTCTATGGCTGAACCTGGAAGAACAAGAGGATGAGCTGAGTTGAGGCTGCAAGCTTTAACCTGAAGTCTGGGGCCTGTAGCCCTGGTGAACAGCACCCGGCCGATCCACTCCTGCTGTTCTGCACTCAGAGCTGCCTGCCAGGACTCAGGCAGCAAATAGAGAGAGGGAAAACAAAGCAGCAGAGTGAGAAAGGCAACTCGGGTTGCAGTCACCAATTCTTGTCATGTGTCTATGCCCATATATGTCTGCTCTCAGAATTGTGTACTGAAACTAATTTCCCTCTGGGATTAATGAAGTTTCTTTGAATTGAATTAATGTCTGATGCCTCACCTTAGAGCTGGCAGCAGGAGGTGGGGGAGGGAGGACTGCAGCAGGGAGCGCTGGAGATTCCTGCGTGGCCTCCAGGAGTTCCTCATCTGTCGGTTCCTCCCGTCCCGCAGATGGTTTTTTTGCAGCCACAGGAGGCGGCGGAGAAGGAGGAGGAGGAGGGAGCGGGAGAGGTGCCTGTACTCCAGAAGCTGAAGCACAAGGGCCACGAGTTAGTGACTAGAAACAAATCAGTTGAACTGTGAGCTGCACAAACACCACAAGTCAAAGCAGGAAGCAGCTAGAGAGACGAGGATCTGACGATTATTGAGCACCAGGTGTCTGACTGTTACCAACAAAATATGAAAAGAGCACATTTCTGTCACTTACGTTGCCCTTGGTCAACTACCGCCTGGACCAGCTCTTAATCACTGGGCTCCCCAGATGCTGTGGGTGGACGAGCTGGTCTTGAGGAGGCTGGAAGTCAAATCATCAAACATCAGGCTTCTGCCCCAGAAAGCGTGAGTGTGAAACACTCAATGTGCTGACCTTGAGTACAAGAATACAAACGAGATCATTAAACAGACTTACGTGGAAATGCAGGCTTAGGGGCCACCATCTTTTTCAGTTTTGCCTGCATTTCCACCGCAGACAGAGAACGCCGCCCAGACACAAAGGCTGCAAATCTGAAAGGTGACAAAGTGTTTGTTTAATAGAATGTTATTTTAAAGTGTTGTAAACCATCAGAGATCAAATAGACAGAAAACATACTGAGATGCAGCCTTCGGCCCCTGGTAGGAAGGACAGACAGACACTCTGCTGCAGCTGGAGGAGGATGCAGCCACTGGGGTAGAGGTGGTGGCGGCAGCAGCAGTGGTAGCACCCTCTGTCCCTCTTCCTCACGTAGCGGACGGCGTTCTCCATCTGCGAGCCTGGAGCTGGCGCCGTCCTTCTTAGATAGTTGACAAACCTGTACAGGTGAGACACAGAAGTTCATTCAGACTAACTTGTAAGTTGTTGTTGTGTTTTGACTCTATTGGTGGGAGACCATGGCTGTCTAGAAAGGAACTTACAAACTAAGTGGATTATTACTGTTATTATAAATAATACCATCATCATCATTATTAATAAAAGTAACCACCGGATCGTTTTGGGGTCCTTGGAGTCGTACAGGCTCTGCAGGCTCTCAAACTTAAAGTCCCCAAAGTCAACAAGGGCCAGTCCCTCCTGACCAGGCTGGAGGGATTTCACCCACGCCTCCTCAAACGCCTGCCGGAACCGGACTGCCTCAGCAAATTCCGGGTACGCCAAGGAGTAACGGGTGAAGGTTAGAATGATCAAACTCTGTTATGCACAGAGGAGGGGAGCTGAGAGATCCCACCTTGTTGGCCATCAGAGGGGACTGAGAGCCTGTCCCCTCTCGCTCCTTCTGGTGAGAAGCCACCACCATCACGGCGTAGCTCACGTCGTTCTGCAGGAGCCAGTGGAAAGTCTTGCCCTGGTAGGTCCCAAACTGGACCTTCCACCGGCTTAGCACGACGGTGGCGTTGTTGACATCGCTACCCTCGCTGGCGACGTGGGCCCTTGCCTCCACCTCCACCTCCTCTGGCTGCTTGGCCCTGTACCCCTGCCTCTGGGGTCCCACAGCCTTTGCCTCATCTGAGGCCCTGAGGATCAGGGTCCCATTGTTGGCCTTTATAAAAGTTGGATGTTCCATCTAAATAAAGGAGCAAAAGACTGGATGAGGAGCTGCAGGAAAACTAGGTTTACAGTTCATACAAAACCTGAGCAACTGCTGATCACTAACAGATTATCTTATTTTCATTAATGTTATGATTAGTGTACATTCCGTGTATAGAGCTGGTCAGTTTTACATGTATAGAGCTGGTCAGTTTTACATGTATAGGGCTGGTCAGTTTTACGTGTATAGGGCTGGTCAGTTTTACGGGTATAGGGCTGGTCAGTTTTACGTGTATAGGGCTGGTCAGTTTTACGGGTATAGGGCTGGTTAGTTTTACGGGTATAGGGCTGGTTAGTTTTACGTGTATAGGGCTGGTCAGTTTTACGTGTATAGGGCTGGTCAGTTTTACGTGTATAGGGCTGGTCAGTTTTACGTGTATAGGGCTGGTCAGTTTTACGTGTATAGGGCTGGTCAGTTTTACGGGTATAGGGCTGGTCAGTTTTACGGGTATAGGGCTGGTCAGTTTTACGGGTATAGGGCTGGTCAGTTTTACGTGTATAGGGCTGGTCAGTTTTACGGGTATAGGGCTGGTTAGTTTTACGGGTATAGGGCTGGTTAGTTTTACGTGTATAGGGCTGGTCAGTTTTACGTGTATAGGGCTGGTCAGTTTTACGTGTATAGGGCTGGTCAGTTTTACGTGTATAGGGCTGGTCAGTTTTACGTGTATAGGGCTGGTCAGTTTTACGGGTATAGGGCTGGTCAGTTTTACGTGTATAGGGCTGGTCAGTTTTACGGGTATAGGGCTGGTTAGTTTTACGGGTATAGAGTGGGTTTGTTGGTTGGTTGGTTTTATGTGTACGGAGCTGGTTAGTTTTATGTGTAAAGAGCTGGTTGGTTGGTTGGTAGGTTTACAGTTCATACAAAACCTGAGCAACTGCTGATCACTAACAGATTATCTTATTTTCATTAATGTTATGATTAGTGTACATGACATACTGTCCTGTCTTATGTAAAATAAACAACATAAGAAAAAAACTCACATTTCCTAGGTAGCCAAAAGCTAATTAGGAAACCCAGTTATTGGCTGGATTTTCTATAAGTGAAGATAAAACCAATCAGAGCCCAAACATGCACGATTGTGATGATGAACAACATGGTTGAATAAACACTTAAACATGGTTATTAATGCAATAAGGATGGTGTTGATTTAAAAAATTGCTTAAATACAAGCATATATTGGTTAACAGCAGCGTAATGCAGCAGCACGCTAGCTTAAACAACGTTGACATTGATGTGACACGCATCAGGTGGATATAAAGGGTGCCACTAAAGTTTAAGAGTAAAAAGTAGATTCTAAAACCAAGGCAAGCAGCGCAACCACAAAAGCAAATTTAAAAAGGGAATTTATTCTAAAAGCTAGGATGATGCCCAAGATGCTCTCCACAATAAAGTCTGCTGGGCCTCCAGAGGACAAAGCAGTCCAATACGCCCCTGCATGAACTCGCCAGGGGGAACCTCCACGACCCCGCCCTCCGGCGGTACGCGTCGTCCTCGGGAAACCACAGGCTGAACGGCCCATGGATCCAATCCTCCTCCTCGGCCCCTGTGGCACACAAAAACTCCGGCAGTCAAAAGTCCCCAAGCACCAGACCACACACAGAGAGACAGCAGCTCCAGATGTAGCCAGGCACTGCTCCAACACTTACGCGCAGGGGCAGAGTAACTCTGCCCGTCTGCCGTGTCGCGCTCCGTGCCCTGGCTTCTCCACCGCGGATCTCGCTCTTCGCTGCTGCTCGCTGTCCGCGCCACAGGTGAACCCCCTCCTCGGTCCAAGACTCCAACCGGACCCAGCGGCACCCGTGCGCGCACTGCTCATGTGTGGAGGGAGGGACACCCACGCTCTTCCACACTCTGCCTCCGTCCCTCATCCGGGACCGTACTCCTGGTGCTCCTCTGTTCGGGCGGGGGGGTCCAGGCACATGTGGTCCTCAGGACGCCGTCCCAGGGTGCGTCTCTGCCCCTTAGCTCATCCCGTCTGCCCTCCTGGCTCTCTCTCTGTCCCTTTTTGTGTCCACGCATTCCTCCCTTTAAAAACTGTCCTGCCTGCATCTGTCCATTAATTGGCTGTCCAGGCAACACTCTGCCGCAGGTGAAGGTGATTAACACAGAATGAACACACAATGTTGCACCACAACTAAAAACACACCATCAATAAAAACATGCACATCAGAATAAGCAAAAACACAACCAATAAAAATGTGCGCATCAGAATAAAACAAGTAAAACATGCAATATAAAATAAAACATTAGTGCAACATCACCACTCTGTGACAGATATTTCACCACATTACAGTAAAAACTAAATCCTGTACAATCTAAATCCCCCTAAACGAGCTGCAATGCTTTTAATTTTTGTAAGTTTTTAGATTACAAACAAGTATAAAATATAGTTACTTCTCAGATCTCGGAGCAGAGCAATGGCGGATCGCTTGGACGGACTGACAATCCAGCTCTCTGATTCGTCGGCAAAAATGTCAGTCTCAAAAAATGGAACAAATACGGCCATTTTATTGGTCAACCTTATGGCACATGATAAACTGCCCCACCCTCAGTGTGTAATTCATTGTGTTCCATTTAGACAATTGTGTTTTCAGTTTTGCTCTTCAGTGTTCTTTCCATGCTTGGTAGTGTTCACCCAAAGGCTACTTGTGTTTAAGCAATGAATGGTATGTGTGTGTCATGTGAAAATGTGGCTGTGTTTACCAAATGAAAACACGTGTTCCATTTTGTGAACATGTTACGATATGTGATGGCAGGGTTTTGTTGCAAAGGGAAGCCATGGTTTAGGAATTTGTGTGTTATGTTTGGGGTTTTGTGTGTGCAGTTTTGAAAGAAACGTACAGTTTTGAAAAACGCATTTTAGCAATCGAAAAAAACTAAAAGAAACTGATGTCTTTAAGAAATCTAGATTCAGAACCAAATGGTGTAAGATTGTGGAATGCCATTAACAAGGAATTTAAAGAATCAACTACGCTTGCTATATTTAAAAAATGTATAAAATCTAATGGATTTAGTAATTATGAAAAGGAGAATTATGTCAAAGATTAGACATGAAAATATTAGAAAGTGACTGAGGTTACTATGTTTGTTTGGTGGATAATTTTATTTCGTGAAAAGGGGCAGAAATCATAAGATTTTTTCTTCTATCTGCTCCTTTTCATTCAAATGTTTTTTTTTCAATATGTTAATGTATGTTGTATTTGTTTGTTTATTTTATACATTGTGAATGAAATAAAAGATTTAAAAAAATGTAACATCCACCTCTCCTGAACTTCGTATCATCTATCATCTATCAGCAGTAAAGAGTTAAAGCTACATGTCACAAATGTCACATAGGAACTTTTCATTATAATGAATGTAAATGTTTTAAATCCATCTAGGGGTGGGCAACATGTCATTCATAGTATTACCTGTTATTATTTCCTGCCAAGAAAAAAAAATCTATCATGTTAAGCTAACTTCATGATGTAGTTGCATTCACTAAACAGGATTATGTTCATCCGCGTCATCAGCATGAAGTTATTGAAGGTATCAAAGCAAACATGGCTGGAATCAGTTTTATTGTAATCTGTTTCTGTGTGTGTGTGCTGCGGTAATGAGTGGATGTCTCCACTGTGGGATTAATAAAATTTACTCTATTATATTAATTCATATCAGCCAGTAGGAAAAAAAAATGTTTGAGGAATTTTGGCCTTTCCAGACTTCCGTACCAGAAACCTGGTTATGGAGGAGGGGTTCGTCTCACAAACAGGGAAAACGCACAGATTTTTTTAAAAGAACTTTTATTGAACATTTGCAAAACGAACAAAAGCGACTACATTTCAAAATTAGTTAGCAGAATGACATTACAGAGTAGCTCCGAAGTTCGTGTTCATCTCAACTTGCATTTTGTAGACACAATTAAACTTGGTATAGTAAGAAGACAATAAACAAAAACAAAAAAATTCAAAACAAAAATAGAACATGAAAGGATACAAGTAAGACAGCATGAAAAAACAAATTATGTGTATATAAATAAAGTTTTACAAGTGGGAAGTAAAAGAGCAAACAAGGTCTATTGTGTATACCATCCAAAAAGCGGTTAGAGATTAGTGTTCATAATGCAATCATAAAGCTTTATAGCATTGGGGGTGGACATTTTACCTAAGGATCTCAACAGCAGTTTAATTTCATTTTTGAGATTATTCCACGTAGGTGGATTTTTTAGATATCTGCATTTGTGTATGAAAAATTTTGTTAAGATTATGAGATTATTAATTAGAAATTCATTATTTTTATCTTTTAGTATAATGCCAAATAAGATATCTTCAACTCTGAAATTGTTTATATAAATTTGGAGTTCAGCCAATCCTGGAGTGAATTCCACATCATTAAAATTTTATCACATTCATAGGAAAGATGTTTGGTCGATTCATCGTTTTGTTTGCATAAGTAACATTTTTCCACATTGAACTTTAATCTAGTTTGTATAAAATGGTTTGATGGGTAAATATCATTCAAGGTTTTAAAATGGACTTCTTTATACTTTGGGGGTAAAGAGAATTTTAGATAGTTGTTCTCAAAAATTTAATTTCTTCTTTTGAAAAGTTGTGTAGTAACAAGAATCGGAGTATTGGGTTTGGATAAAAGGTTTTTAATTTGTTTCTCAGGAAAATATTATTACAGTTTTTATTAAAATGTTCTATCCCATCCGCTGCTAATATTTTGAGTCTAGGGTTAAATATATAACCGATAGAAGCTTTAACTAGATGAACCAGAGCACTTGGGATATTTTTAATCACCTTATTATATTCATTTTCAAAAATTTCAACATCATGCTTGAGATTTAAGTTCTTATGTGAAATAATATGACCATTTTATCTAAAATATGTGTCACTGACCAAATTCCTCTGTCCATTCAACTTTTTACAAATATGGTTTTGGTTCTATCCAAAATAGTTCTATTATTCCATATCGGAACATTATGTGGGCTGAAG